TCTTTTATTCAGTCACTTTGGGACCATAAGAATGCAACTCCAGTCAATACCACTAAGTGTGGACAATAGCGTTTTAAAGTTTTTTGCTTGCTGTAATACTATGTTTTATTATTATTTCAGATGATTTTCTTTATGGTGTTGTGCATTATCGACATAATATGTTGCATYGTACAAACTGCTCTCGCTGGGTTAGCTTTCCTGGTATGGCAGATACTTAAAGCTATAATYGAAACCAAGTGCAAAATCAGAGGAGGTCATTGTGATTGTGGCAATGAGAAAATTCCAATGGAATGTAAGTAATTGTTCCCATGATACGCAATCTAAAATATTCTATATACATGACTGTATGGTATTTACACCTAACTTAAAAAAGTAAGGAGATAAAAACAATGCAAGCCCTCCCAGAGGCCTAGTTATGCATGATTTAAAAATATATAATATTATATTATATCTGAGCTCCACTTAATATTTTGCTGCATCCACTTTATTGTTTCTTTCGAAATGTATTCCAAGCTCAACAAATTGTAGATCAATGCTTTATGGTTGGCTTTTGTATTTTGCACTCTCTATCACTATCTAAGTCTAGAAAGTTATAATATATGTCCACCTTTTTCATGTCATTGTCACCTTCTTTCTACAGTGGAAGACTGTTCCTGGATCAGTGCTATTGAGGCCATTTTCCTGTGTCTGATGATTATCAATGGGTTGGGCACTATATTTGTCTTTGCTGGTTCCATTATTGGATGTGTTGCWACATGTTGTGCATCAAGCCCTGTAAGTAATGAAATACTTAGTCCACATATAAAATATTAATGGAGGTACTTAATTAACAAGGGTTGCACATCAAGTATATCAGATAATAGAATAATTGTCTATCATGTATACTTCATGGACTTTATGGAAATGAACACCATTTTTCCTGTTCAAAGCAAGCAACAGCTGCTTTAGTTGACAACAGCCTCTCATGCTCAGAGACCTCACCAAAAACAAAGAAAGCAAGAATAAATATTGTCATTACAATAGCCCTACCAATCTGCATTTTCTCTGATTTGTAGCTAAGCCTGTGTTCCCAGAAGGCTCAAACTTGTKGGAGTACAGGCTTAGCCTCAAGTCTGAGAAGCTTCAATATTTCTAGAGCTATTATTATGTCAAAGTTTTTTTTTTAATTATTATTTACACAAGTGAGTCTGTTGTGGACTAAAACAGCTGTCGCTCGTATTGAAGGGGAAAAAGGCTCATCATATAACTAGTAGCCTTGCAACGTCATCAGTCACAATCATTGGTACAGTAGTAAAGTTAACATGTTTGTACTTCTATTCACAGCAACAGTCAGGAGTAGTCATGGTACAGAACCCAAATACTGCTGGAACAGTTGTCATTCATACTACTGCACAGCCAGCAACCTACCCTGCACAGACAGTCACATACCCTGCACAGCCAGTAACGTACCCAGCACATGCAGCACCTCCCCCAGCATATAGTCAGGAAGCAAACCCTCCTGGACAATATCCCATGGCAGACCCTATTCCACCAAAAGTCGACTAATCACATTCATGGCAATCAGTTGTGACAAACCATATGTTTGTGATTTCTAACGTTATTGTTTTATTAATGGTTGTAAATAGATATCTCCTAACATTGTCCTACCTAAATTTCTCTTGTCAACTGGACCAGTGAAATTCTGAAAACTGAAAACAAAGATAATTCACTATTAGCCTAAACAGTTAATCTGTTTCTGTTTAAATCAAAACCTAACAGGATATAGACATTGAGGGGAAATGCACTTCGCCCTCTCAGAAGACTTATCAATGGTAACAGGGGGCAACTTAAAATTTTTGATGCTGATTTTTTTTGTCTTGCACAATCACAAAAGTTCACATTTTTCTTTCACAGTGGCATGATAGTTCAACTCCCTATAAAAGGATATCTATTTGATCTAACCTCCATTTTGTTGTTTTTCACTTTATAAGTGCAGTGCATTTGTCCCCAGGATTATCCAACAGAATTGATTTACCATAATTAATTTTTGGATATTTTATATAAAACTTCTATAGCCTGTGTATACATCCGGTTTTATTTGCCAAAAAAAAAACATCAGTTCTTTTGACAAATAAAACCGAATGTAACACTGGCTAAAACTCCTATTGAATTTATAAAAAAGATTGATAAGGTGTGCAAGCTTTGAGAATTACAATGTATTGTCAATTCTACAATTTTCATTTWATTGTGTGACTTAACTATTATTCAACTATTTGTACATGTATCATGAATCTACTATCCACAAAATTTAGAAGAGACTGACCTGCACGTGTGAATATAATATTAACTAATTATTTTTGTGAGTTTAGTGACTTTTTATTTTTGATAACTAAGCTATATACATKTATATATAATATATTAGTATGTTTATCATGTTATCATCTACTTAGAGCAACTATTATTGGTATATAATTGCTAAAGTTTATAATCTACAATACCCGAGCTGTTTAAAAATGACAATAAAATCTAATTTCAAGAGTTTAGCTTATCAAGAGTAATTAACAACAAGCTGATTCTCCAATTCTGCCTGAAAATATATTTCCCTCGATAATAACATTGTTTATTTTTTTCTTGAAACTTTCAAAGCAAGGTAGCCATTAAGGAGATTTTTTCCAATGAAGGTTTAATATAGTACTGGCTTATGGTTAGAATTGGGGGACAAAGTCTGGAGATAAGCTTGTTATTCTGTTTTGCCTGCACATAAAAGATTTATCCAAATCCTATCAGTTATTTTATATTAAACTTAATATCCCTGTAAGTAATATATCCAAATCCTGCCAGTTATTTTATATTCTACTTACTCATGTTCTTTACTTTCCAACGACCATTATTTCATAGACTTACAGTGAGAATGGCARGAGACACTATAACTCTAGAGCTGACCAATATTCATAAGGACCAAAATGAGTAGGCCTGATCTTTCTTATTTACTGCTGCATGGTATTGAATGGTATTGGAGGCGGGGCCTCCGGAGTAAAAGTACCAGGGATGCTAGTTGGAAATATTCAAAAAGATCCCTAAAAGATCCCAGAAGACTTGGAAAAAGGGCGTGGCCTAAGAGATCTGACGAGCATCCCCAGTACTTTTACCCCTTCCCTCAGGCCAGGAGACTAGGAGTAAAACTTGTCAGTTCCTTGTTAGTGACCTCCCAGAGTTTCTGTGTCCTTAAAACTAATTTGCATTCACTTCAATTCCTTTTGTATAAAAAAAACCTAAACTATTAACTATAGTATGGACTCACTGGACCTTAACAGGACGAATAAAGAGGGTAATCTGTCACGATGTTCATGGCGTTTAAYGGAACTAATTAAAGGCCATGAACATTGCGGTGTGGTACTCCCATCCTGCAGGTCTTTCCGATGAAAGCTGTACGTAATGGGATGCAAACAGTCGAATTTCCGTAGAATGAGAGCCCAGTGGCTTCATCCTTTCAGCTTGTGGCAAACTATAGAGGAGTTACTTGGTTTTGGTGCCAACACAGAGCAAACCAGAACTCGAAATTGGAGWATTAGCTCAAGAACACCAAAATACATGGAATAGAGTTTTTTCCATCAACTACAGAAGTTTGGTCCTGCAAATTTGCCTCAGAATTGAAGTATAGCGAAAATAGTATCTCTTTACCCATCACCTCTAAGTAATCTTGTCCTGATTACATCATTCATCAACTAGTGTAAACTCTTTTATGGGCTGAAGGTGATGAGTGTAATCCAAACCAAAAGTCAAACACAATGAGCTGACCTGAAGATTAGGCMTTTCCCTTTGAAATCAAAATGATGGTAGTGAATCAGCACAATCATTTTTGATTGGGAAAAGCCTGAATCAGTTTGCAGTTAAACAARGACATCATGATCCACGTACACGCCTTTCCACTGTGGAAAGGSGTATACGTGGATCATGATGTCCTTGTTTTAGCAAGTACATCCCCATAATGAAGTCAGTGAAAGCCAGATTAAGCTTACATACTGTTCACAGCTAAACCCTTTCAGTCCCAAGATGTATTGCCATTTTTAGCGATTTTTTTGGTCTTACTTTTCACATAGCACTTAAGGTCTTTGCTCTGTTGTACAGTCTAGTGAGAGGCTGCCTTCAGGGAGGCGATTATGTCGAATTTTGCTTATTTTTCACGCCTTTTTTGCCTAGTACTCGCTTGAGCATCATAAAGCATGAAGGCAGTTTTGGGCTAACTTTCTCAAAGAACCGAGTGAAATGACAAGCGTTCAAAACGAGCCATGTGGCACTCTTTGGAGTTATCTGGTAGGAGTTAAAGGGTTAAACCTGATTTTGCCATCGATATATCCAGCATTTCATTTTGAGAAGCCAGCCAACTGTTGTTAGTCCAGAGGAAGACTGGCCTGGTGCCATAACCGGATGTACAAATGACAAAGCATATCACGCAATGCCTGCTGGTACTTCCGGTAAGCTGTCATGTGAAGTTGATGGTTTGTCCTTTTCATCACTGGGAGTCAACGATTTACTTTTACTGGAAGGGATTATTTTAAACGAGTCTGTCTTGGAATTGTAAGTAGTCTTTCCTAAGCATCTAACTTGTTCATTGTCGTGGGGTCTTCAAATCATCTTCAAGGAAACGATCGTTGTGTTTTCAAAAAAGATTTTCTGTGCGCGGGAAAATCCGAAACGTCGAAGGACTTCGATGCATGAAGCAACAAGTTTCYACGCCAGTTTCCAACTCCTGGTCGTTAGATAAACTAAGTATTCCTTCCTAAACCCCACATAATGCTAAAAATTCTCCGTTCATTTTAGTTTTTGGAGGTATTAGGTCTGTTTGAAAAGAATTATTCGACTTTATGTAAGCTTAACTGAATTTTGCTTCGCTTTTGTTGACATTTTCACACCTTTCGTGCATTGAATAAGCTTACTAACTTATCAAAGCTCWATGAATGAAGTTCAAAGAATTTTTTTAAACAATACAGTTATAATACTTTGTTTTGTTTCACTTTTAACTTCTAGTAACTTATAGTTTAGTCAGTTAGCTACATTCATTCGGGTACATTTCTATGTTATAAAATGAGCATTGATCCTTCAACAGATAACAATGATATTTCGAATGGCATATTGATTCCTTACACAATAATTTGTTTATCTTGCTTGACGATTTTTGTCTTTGTGTTTTATGATCATATTATAAACATTTGACGGGAATATTTCACGTCGTCACCGAACAATTAAAGCGATTTAGGAAGGTTTCCTGTAGTCCTGTAAGGTCATAGGGTGCGGTACATCATCTCAATTCCTTCCATTTGAAAATTTGTTTACATTCCTTGATATTCCCATATCATAATATTTTGGTTTATATGGTACAATTGTTAGTATTTGACTTGAGAATGTGTGCATTTTTGTAATTGCTATTTTATACATTTTCGTTTTGCTACACTTTTCTAATTCTACTTATCTATTTTTATTATTACATGACCCCATCATGAACCCATGGTTTATTTTAAATCTGGTGTGACATTTAATTTAAAGAAAATGCCTTTATCATTTAACTGTAAAACAATTAAAAAAAATAACTTTGAAGTTGCACCTTTTTGATGTATTGCCATGTTGTCTCATTTGTAAGACCTCTCAAAGTCAGCTTAAAAATCTGACCTCTTAACCTGTCACTTTCTAAAGAAAAAGTATATAATGAAATATCTGAATTCTATTTTTGTATATCATTCTTCTTTTCTATACAGCCTTTTGCAAAAATTATGAGAATTGTCTAAATATCTAAATATCATAATATCCATATCCATATATTGTCTGGAACACGAGGATTTGCTAGAATAATTCATTGTTGACATCGAGAAAATGTTCAGAACTATGGATAAGTCTGTCTCCAAAAAGAAACTAAACTACAAAGACAAGGGACTAAGGGCATCGCGCGGGATTACCCATCATGCACTTGATATTATGATATTTAGATATTTCGACAATTCTCATAATTTTTGCAAAAGGCTGTATTTTTATTTAATTTATGATTATTTGGCAAGAATATTTGTGACGACTAAAATCTTTGTCACACAATCTCTGTCACACTTTCGTGGTAAGGTGGGTAGAGCACTGCCAATAAATCACAAAGATCAAGTACTAGATTTCATCACAGAGGTGCATGCTGTTTGTATTTTACCCTAGAATATTTTCAATACTTTTATAGACATTTTGAWTATTTTTATAATTATAGTAGTTCTACATGACTCAATGTAATGCTTATTCAATTTTCTTATATTGTAAATCTATGTGATATGAAGAAATAAGAACTAATGAAGTGGATGACAAGCTGGTTTGCTATTATGAATATTATGAATAAATAGCTAAAAATGAACAAATATCGCATTACTTCTCATTTGATTTTCAACTGAATTTTGACTGCATTACTCAGTCAAGCAATAATGGTAATTACACATAAATATAAAACATGATTTAAGTGTTAATTAACATAGATGTAAAACTTGACATTTGTAATGAAAATACTAGTACAAAGTCGATTAGTTTTAAATTATATTTCATTAATGATTAAGATTTAAACATTTTTATTCCCATTTCTATAAATCTCCAGGACTAACACTTTAAAAACGTGTAGTCTTTTATAATATCATTCTGCTCCTATTTTTCATATCAGCCTCATTGAGTGTTCTAAATTTTAACTTTGTTTAATTTGTATTATACTCAATAAAATCTTGAAGGCAATTAATAATGAATAAAATGATCTTGGTTTTCCTATTGTGTCTATCATATAGTTAAATTATTCATTCCTGTACTGGATAGCATAACAAAGCCAATCCAATTGAAAGTGAAATTATTTRATAAGGACTGTTGAATAAGGTTCAGCATTAGGTTGTGAAATTGTAATTTATTTTGATTGGTAAAATGTCATCATTTGAACATCTTACTGAGATAAAGGTAAAATCTTTTATTTTAWTTTTTTAAGCTCATGACAATTATATGAACAATATTTTGCTGTAATATCATGTGAGCCTGCCTTCTAACAATATATCAACAACAGTTATGGTTTGATATTAAACCACAAGTCTCCACAAATTAATTGAAATTGGCATTGTTTAAATCATTGTTGTTTTGCCCTAGAATTTCTTGTTAAACATGGCAAGTTATGTAGGATTTGCAAATCTACCAAACCAAGTCCACCGTAAATCAGTCCGACGAGGATTTGAGTTCACTCTAATGGTTGTAGGTAGGTTTGATAATGATAATAATACAGTGTCAACAAAACTAATATAACAGTTAGTCTTAAACCTTTATTCCCCAACATTTTTGTTTGGCTTGTTTTTGTAATGAATTGCAGTGTGAAGAAAAGCATTTCAATGTTACACACTCAATGTATTCACCATTAATAACTTATTATTAATGTTGTTTTATTCAAGGAGAGTCAGGGCTTGGGAAATCTACTCTTATTGAYAGCTTATTCCTAACAGACTTGTATTCAGACAGAATTGTACCAAAAGCTGAAGGTATAAAAAAGCTAAATTTAGACTATCATTGATTTTTAGAATAGATGATTTTCCTAAAAAAAATGAACTTCATTATTATTTTATTTGATGGTTATAACATTATTGACATATTTTTTTAAAATCATCATTTTCCTCAACAGAAAGAATAAAAAAGACGGTAAAAATTGAGACATCAACTGTTGAAATAGAAGAAAGGGGGGTTAAGCTGCGTCTAACAGTAGTCGATACTCCTGGATTTGGTGACGGCATGGATAATAATGACTGGTATGCTTAATTTTTTATAATGTATCATATATCACATTTTTTATACTTGAAAAAACAGGAACCGTAAATAAATAATCACACTTTTACCAAGATAGATCTATATAGCATAAATTAATTACTAAATTCTATCCAAACAGTACTTAAATTTAAACGAGTAACAAGGATTCAGCGTTTTGTTTTTGTTTTTACAGTTTCAAGCCAATTTTAGAGTATGTAAATTTGCAGTTTGAGAATTACCTTCATGACGAATCAGGTCTCAATCGCCGAAACATCACAGATACACGAGTGCACTGTTGTTTTTATTTCATATCWCCTACAGGACATGGGTATGTACAGTCCAACTTTTGTTTGAGTAATGTTACTATTTGTGATGCATTATCAGAGAATAATATTGTTTTTGGTACAGTCATCTTGTCATTTTGCACGGTTATCTGTGTCATCTTGAAAGGTAACGGCAACTTTGAATCAAAGTGAGACAACTGGTGACCTTGTTGGTGTGRAAGAAGGTTTCGCACTCACCTCTGCATCTCACTTCCATTTAATTGCATGGTTATCAAGATGTGTCACAGAAAACTGTGKAGAKTTTTTGAGCAATGAACCTAATGTTGTTATTTTTCATTTCAGTCTAAAACCTCTCGATATTGCATTCATGAAGGAATTACATSAAAAGGTCAACATTGTACCAGTCATTGGTAAAGCAGATACTCTAACAAAGTCAGAACTTGCAAGCATGAAAGCCAGAGTAWGAATATTTAATGMAAATATTTTTACAATTTAAGAGTTAGTTGTTCTGTGMTCTAGAGTAGAAAGTGGATTTATGGCTTCCATGTGCACCCAMTTGCATATTGTTTTCATTTAAGGGTATTATAATGCAATCTCAATTAACAKCATTGTAGATGGGGGAGGATATAGGATTTGTATGTAGCATTTGTTTAAAATTCATGTTATAAACACAGACTTGCATTGTATTTTTTCTTATGATATTATAGGCTGAACAGATCATCAAAAGTTAASCATGACTATAGAAGCTTTTGTGTGCTTTAAGAGAAAACATATAAGAATAAGTGTTTTGACATTATCATATTTGTAGGTTCGACAAGAAATTGAGGAATATGGAATTCAAACTTACCATTTGCCTGAATGTGATGATGATGAAGATGAAGACTTCATTGAGCAAACTAACCAGCTTCGGGTATGACTATTTAATGGCTTTCTTTGATTRCTTGCAGTGATTTTCAGTATTTTTCATACTACTTTACATAAATGTTATTTTTTTAGCTATTTTATGATAATGTATGAACCTTTGTTTTAGATGGCCATGCCCTTTGCTGTGGTGGGGAGTAACACTTTGATAGAAGTTGGAGGCAAAAAGTCTCGGGGAAGGCTCTACCCTTGGGGTGTTGTGGAAGGTACATCTTCAATAATGTTCATCTCCCATCTCCACTTCTTTTTCTCTTCTCACAACTACTCTCACTTCACTCACCCTTTCTCCTTTTTCATTTCTCTTCTTTTCAAAACATTTCTGTACTCCTTCATYCACCRTGCAACGTTTCTCCTTTTTTCTTCTCTTCTTCCTTATAATTTCCCTCTTTATTTCCCTCTTTTTATCTTTTCACTGTTTCACAGCTATACCAAAGTTTGTCCTTTCTTCTACTACTTATTTTTCCACCTTTGTTTCTTTTTCACTGTCGTCATTTGTTATTTACTTATTATCTCCTTTCTTGTTGTTTACATCTCATTCTCCTTTCCTTTTCTCTGTTCCTTTTGAAGGTTTTTTTTCACTTCATTCCTCTGTTTCTACTTGATCATTCCTTTATGCTCTGTCCTCCCCAGACATATTCTATTCTCCTCTAAACTTCATATGACATATATTCTTTTTCAGTTGAGAACCCTGAACATTGTGATTTTTCTAAACTACGAACAATGCTTATGTAAGTAGTTTCTCTTGGATTCACAGCCAATGTTTGTAATCCTCTTTTTTGGAGACCTTAAAGGAACTAAAACGCAATTATTTTTTTTTTCTGGTTTGGTTATTTGTGTGGTTGTTGCTATAAGCTTTAGACCTTTGTAAATTTGTAGATTTATTGAGTTTACATGTTGATTAGAAGTTCAATTCATGATCTGCCATACTAGAAARTACAATCAACTTTAATAGATCTCAAAGTAAGCATGGAATTGATATTTTTCTTTAGTACTCATATGCAAGATTTAAGAGAGGTCACACAAGATGTTCATTATGAGAATTTCAGAGCGGCAGCACTAGGTGAAGTAGCACCAGCAACCCCAAGAAGTAGCAAGAGGTATTTGACCATGTTATTATTTCTAACAAATCGTTATTTTATTCATGCTTATTCTTTTATTTATTCTATTATGGATAATCAATCATAAAATCCTATTATGTAACATTTTGTTTGTTTCATAGTTTGAGCAGAGTAAAGGAGCAGGCTGCMAAAGAAGTTATGGAGAAGGAGAGAGCTTTACAAGAAAAGGAAGCTGAGGTATGTTGGTRCTGGTTGATT